AAAAAAAAAAAAAAAAAAAAAAAAGGAGATTAAAATTTGGGTGTTTTTAATATAGGTCTACGTAGTGTTTCGTAGCGGAGGCAAAGAGGACTCGAAACACTCTGGAGCCACTGGGAAATTTCTAGGGAAAAGTAGTCGTCCAACAGGCACCAGCAACCAGACCAATTCTATATCCCTTCAGCAAGGAAACTTCACAGACGAGAGCGATGGTGCAACAGTAAGAACACTTTTATCTGCTCAATCCCTTCTCTCAACTTTCATCCAGACGCTTTTCTTGGGATAAATATCAGAAATATCCAATGTTCGCAGATCTTACCCTTACTCTAACTTGTCACAGAAACTCGAATACCATGAGTGCTTCTAATATAGAGAATTCGTTGCACGAAGTTGAGAACGACACCGTTCGGTCGTAAAATTTGCTAGTTTTACAATGCAGATTTAAATTTTCATATAAATTTCGAGAGTTGAAAACAGTTTGGATGTTTCTGAGATTAGATCTTGCTTTTAGAAAATCCTCCTTTAAATATAAAAATGTGGTTATCTCACTATATAATTTGTCACTACGCTGTATCGTCCCCATCTAGAGTACAAAGTTATGTTCGGGTTAAGATAATTGCGTGTGAGAATATAATATAGAAAGCATACAAATGAATGAACAATCTTTTTATAGCGTGAGGAGTGAAATGCACTTTGATAGCTGGCATTAGGTTACATTAAGGAACATCGATAGAGAGCGCCATTGATAAAGATACTGCAGACACGCGATTGGTCAATTTAGGCGGGAATCAATATAAAGTTTTGAGGTTATGTTCTCTGCAACTTGCGTTTCTTAATCTGAGAGGAAGTAGGAATCGTAAATTGAAAACTAATACACCGGGGAATAAAACATTGTTAAATACTGGAAAACGAATTTTCGTATTAAAATCAACCAAACCGTAGAAATATAATAAAGACAATTTATTCATTCTATAGACAGTTGTAAATAAATATATAGAGAAGAGTAGATCTAAAAACTTAAATATAAGTAAAATTATAATAAAATAAAAATATAAATAAAATAGAATAAAAATATAAATAAAATAAAATAAAATAAAAATATAAATAAAAATATAAATAAAAAAAAATAAAAATATAAGTAAAATAACTTAAATTCTACGAATTTTGAGAGTTAAAACATTTTTGAGGTTATAAGAATTCCAAATTCTGTACTCTACAAGTATTATATAATTAAAATCTCATGGCAAAAATTATTATTCTAAAAACTGAAATAACTAATAATTAAAAAACTAAAATGAAATACCTGTTTTAAAAACTTGGAGGATAGTTACATCTTCTTAATATGATAATACAATATTTAAAGCATTGTGTCGATACGATAAATATTACTTTGCCGAAAAATAATCACCCTCTTACACATGTCGCGTGTCAAGTCGATTGAGCGTGAAATATGAGACTACGAAATAGAAGAGGGAGACACGTGTCCTGGCCCCACAGTTGCGACAGGTTGTACGAGGGGAACACTAGGATCTGATTTAAATTCCCATCACGAGTGGAACCAGCGACAAAATATGTCTTTAATGGCACGTTCGCGTGATTCTGTGCATATATGTATCCTTAGATATCAGCTGTTCCTTTCTTTCCTCTAGTTCGTTCCATGTTACATAAATTCTCACCGGATTTTCGTGACCGGGGTAACGGTAATTCCACCAGGATTCTACAGGGCGATGCAAAAGTCTGGTCAAGAATTTATTTACAAAAGAAGAATAAATAAAGTGAATAGTTGATCGTGATTCTTTGAAATCAGAAAAATATCTGAAATGGGATATTGGAATGAAATTAATTTTCAACAATTAGTAGAAATTTAGTCGGAAATAAATGAATATGTAAATTTAACGTGTTGCAATTAAATTAACATTTATTAATTAAAATTAAGTATTACAATAAACTTCTATGTAAAAATAAGATAGATTAAAAATATTCGTACTAAAATTTTACATTAATGAGATCGGGATGTTAGAACAAAATTTGAAATGCGTAAACTTTTGTGACTGACGGTATATTATTACACCACGTTGTTCAGTATGTTATGATAAGCAACCATTCTGCGTTATTATATCACATTATACTAACACAGGTGTATGATAACGACTTTTTAATCAACGTCTGATATTCAGACTATATTTTTAAAAGCTCAAGTGACTTTCATGTCTTCATATAAATGAGAAAATTAATGAAGCCCAATTATTATATTTACACTGCAGATGTTAAAATTTAACGACACCAAATTATTCATAATATACAGGCAAAGTGCTTGTTATAATATTTAATAGGTGAAAGAAATTTTCATAATTTAGAGCCCACTCCTTTAATCATGACGCGATATAATACGAATTTTACATAAAATCCCGCAGTCCAATTACATTGTATGACCGCTTCAACACAGTACACATTTTTTAATCATTTTTTCCATACAATAAGTAGCTTAGAAGTAATTACACGATATAAGGAGAAACGAAGCGTCACATGAGCATTAACTACCAGTTAATTACTATAACCATCACATTTTTACTTAAGTCAAAGTCTTTAAAAATGTTTATTTCTTTCCAACTTTTCATACAAAATTTATTAACCATGTTAAAATGGCAAAATTAGTATAATTATAATATACTCGAATTTTAAATTAATTAAATTAATGTTGAAATTTATTAAATTATTTAAATTAATTTAAAATTCGAAAATTAATTTCATGCACGTATTATATGTTATATTGTAAATAACTATATAACGACAATATAATTCGAATTTCTCGAAGACATGCTGCAATACGAACGAAAATCCTGTTAATTGACGTTCGACGTGCGTTGATCGTGGCTGATAAACTTGACAGCAGTCACTGCGAAACAATTATGCGTCGATTAATCAAAATCCTCTCTCGAAACGCGTCATTCGTCTACATCGCACGTTGACAACGAATATTTTCATAATTATAATATTCAACAGATCGTCTGTAATCGAATCAAACGTCCGCGTACAATCCTGATCGTCATTTACGATTCCGTGATCGTTAATTCTACCCCGTAATCGAGTGAAATCACTCTAAATCCAGCAACGCCATTAACGTCCACTATCTCCGCCTACCGATCGAAACATAGAATTTTCGTGAAAGTGCTGATTCCATTCAGAAGAGAGACAGAGGGAGAGAGAGAGAGGGACAAGGGGGGGGATGACTACGTGACCTAACCTAACGCGAAAGAATTTCGAGACCGAACGAAACGTCGCGAAAGCGTCAGACGTTCAAGTAACGAGAAAACTTGCTGACAAATGTATCCTGTTAAAAAGGACGATAAATCTCAGGAATTGTAAATTGTCACGAATACGAGTAGAAGTAGTCTATTTACGAGGGAAAAAAACTTTTGCTCGAAAACTGGCTGCCCAACCTCAATTATGCAAAGAAACGAATTTTACCAACGAAATATTAGCGAAATA